AACTTTCAGTTCAATCGGCCCAGCAGAACTTGACTTTAAGTTTGAAATGTAAAATGTTAACGGACGACGGACGACGGACGACGGACGACGACGGACGAAAACGGATAGCAATAGGTCACTTGAGCTAAAGCTCAGGTGACCTAATAAAACAGTTTCCCGAACAGTTTGGTTCCATGATAAATAGCTTCAACTATGATAATTATCATGTTTACAAAAATATAAATATATGGTACCCTGTTTAAGTTCGGGGAAAGAATAGACCTTTATTTATGTGTGACCCATTGCAAAGTCGGGAATTTCCTTTTGCATCTTCTACCAAGAGACGCTGTAAAGACAAAAAATAATCTGCTTTTCCCCTTTTCAACGCTGCCTTTTCCTTTCTATCTTATCTACTCTTTCCTTTCGATGGTGTCTACTTAGGCGTATGTCTTCATATGATCTTAGCTGTTGTATGGGCTATCAACCTCAAATAAACAAACAGCATAGATGGCTGCGATTACATAAAATGTCCAAACACGCTGATTTGCAAATAGACCCGTCCTATACCCCAAATGATGTGCTAATACATAGCTACCATTGATACAATCTCAGTGAGATTCTTAAATAACATCATGCTTTTGTCAAACTTTATTTCCGTTTTGAACGATTCTTTTATGATACGCAGGACAAAGATGCGTTATGAGTAAGTGATAGAGTAGTATTTACTAAGACTATCTCACCTATTGTCTGGAATATGTTCTGGTAAGCGTTGCTACTTTCGATGCTGTTTCCATCTGATAGAGGTATTGTTTGTTTTTGGCCTCTCGTGACAACATCTGGACAAGGATCAGTTGACGTTTTTGTATCACGAATGGAAGGAATCTACAAGCGGGAGCTAAGAGATGATGACATCTATCTGTGTACTACAGTCTTCAATAACTTTCAAAATATGTCTGATGCCAGAGCCATTAACAATGTTCATGATTCGATTAAACAAAGCTTCATCAAGCGTGGTAAATCTGACAAAAGCTTAAAATATAAAACTTAGTCAATGTACATTGGCATGCTCTTTCAGGTTAATTGACGGAAATTATCTAAAGGTTGTATAGACTTTAATTTTTTATACATAAACTGCTTAAGTTAATTGTAGCGAAATCGTGCAGTCGCATAATTATATTTACACACCCAAAAAATACCTGATACCTGAATGTTGCCATTCATTTCAAGTACCAGTCGTCATTGTAACACATACTTTGGTATCGGGTCAATTTATAATCAAGAGTATCAATCAAAGGCCAAATTGTTTAAACATGTACAATATATACTTCATTTTAATCGTGAAAACGATTACCTGGGATGAAAATGCCGTTTCCATATCGTCGAATTGTTTCGAGATAGCATCTACATCATTTGGATTGCCGTCAGCCGGATTGTTTTCAATAGAACGTCCAACGGTTTCCACTGGCGTCTGGAGTTCCGAAATTTTGCTTGCTTTGCATTCTGTAATGACGTCGTGAGAAGAAGCATGGATTTTCTCTGACGAAACAATTTGCAGTATATCATTGAACTGGTCTGGGTCAATATCCGAAATGTCGCTTGGAAGAGAAAGAGGGGACATTTCTGCTAAGTCGGAATTATCAACACACTGTCGGTCACCTCTTTGGTTTGTTTGTTTGTTTGTTTGTTTATGTTTAACGGCCCATCGACGGCTGTGGTCATTTAGGGCCATGGTGATTTATTTATTCACTTTACTTTTTTAACAAACATGTGAATAGCGAAGATAAAATCAGATAAAATGGTTCATTTTAAAAGTATTCGCATTGTATGTGTAGATAATTAAAAATAATAAAAGGGGGTTAAAATAATAAAAGAGATAACGAATAGATGATATGGAATATGCGATATATATATAACGTCAAAAAGGATAAGGTGGGTTAAAAGACATCAGAGTCTATAAAATAGACCGATGTCTTTCAAATAGTTAAATAATGCCTTCGAATCCACGGAACTGAAAAGTGTTTTCATATCCGGGACTCGGAAGTAGTTATCACGAATGTGTTTAAAATCGGAACATTCTATTAAAAAATGCTCCACTGTAAATGGAGTGTCACATGCGTGGCATGAAGGTATATCTTCTCGTTTTAAAAGGTACGAATGAGTAGGATATGTGTGCCCAGTGCGGAGCCGAGCGAGGACAACTTCCTCTCTACGATCTTTCCGACTGGGAATAGATGTTTTAAGTTTCGGTTGTATCTTAAAAAGTTTGTTGTTGGTCTCCAGAGACCAGCGTTTCTGCCATTCATTTTGAATGGCTGTACGAATAGTAGGTTTAAAATCTGTGTATGGTAGTTTGATATTTGTTTGTTCGAGATTCAATGCATTTTTTGCTTCCCTGTCAGCAAATTCGTTGCCTTTTATTCCGACATGGCTCGGAATCCATAGTAAAGTTATTTTAGACTTTTTTAATATACGAGATATTCGATGAGCAAGGTTTTGTACGATTGTGTTTTTAGGATCTCGTAACTGTAAACTCTGTAGGACAGATAGAGAGTCTGAACAAATAATTGCCTTTTTAATGCGGTGTTCATCGATATGGTCGAGGGCCAAACCAATGGCGCATGCTTCAGCAGAAAAGATGGAGGCGCCGTCTGGTAGTCGGACTGAAGTGCAAGTATTGGCAGTACAGCAGGCTGCTGCCACTTTCTCACCTTCTTTGGAGCCATCGGTGTAAAGTTGTGTATGAGAAGGGTAATTCGAAATGCATTCCCGAAAGGAGGATTTGTGTTCTTCGGGCATAACACTTGATTTCCCTCGCTCATGTAATGTAAAGTTAAAATCGGGGGTTTGAATGGTCCACGGAGGAACATCAGATATGTTAAATTCAGCTATGTCCGTCAATTTTATGTTGAGTTCTTGCAGGAAATTCAAAATTCGGATACCAAATGTTGGCAGAAGTTTTTGGTTTTGCGTAAATATGTTTTGGTATTTGGGGTTGAATACTTGGTTGAAAGCAGGATTTTTAGGGTTTGATTTTAATTGAGTTGCAAATTGTAATGAAAGTTTTATTCTTCTGTCATAAAGGGATGGTTCATTTGCTTCCACGTACAGGCTTTTTACAGGTGTTGTTCGAAAAGCTCCCAGGGCAAGACGTAGCCCTTGGTTATGGATTGGATCTAGCATCTGAAGGTACGAACTGCGCGCTGACCCGTATACCATAGAACCATAATCCAGTTTTGTTCGAATAAGTGATCTGTATAGGCGCAAAAGCATTTCACGATCCGCTCCCCAATCAGTATGAGAAAGGACTCGTATAATGTTTAACGCCTTGGAACACTTATCCTTCAGATACTTTATATGTGGTATGAAAGAGAGTTTCGAATCAAAAATGAGGCCGAGAAATTTAGTCTGTTCAACAACAGGAATTCTAGTGCCATCGAGTGTTAGATTTGGGTCATTGTGTGCTTTTCGTTTTTGACAGAAATGCATGCACACAGTTTTGGATTTAGAGAATTTGAAGCCGTTTTCGTCTGCCCAATTTTGTAGTTTGTTTAAACTCTGTTGAAGTTGTCGTTCTATCGTGTGCATGTTCTTAGATCTGTAACAGATCAAGAAGTCATCCACAAATAACGACCCTTCTGTTGATTGACCAAGACATTTGACTATATCATTTATTTTAAGTCCAAACAGTGTGACTGATAGGATTCCACCCTGTGGGACTCCCATTTCCTGTTTAGACGTTTCAGAAAAAGTTGAACCAACACGGACTTTGAAGTGTCTATCTGATAGGTAATTAGATATAAAATTGGGAAGGTTTCCACGTACGCCAAGGTCGTGAAGATCTTTCATGATGCCATACTGCCATGTAGTATCATAGGCCTTCTCAAGATCGAAGAACACAGCGACAAGGTGTTCTTTCTTGGCGAAAGCCTCTCGAATGAACGTCTCTAATCTGATGAGATGGTCATTTGTCCCTCTTCTATTTCTAAAGCCACTTTGAAGAGGGGATATTATATCGTTGGCCTCAAGAAACCAAACCAGTCTAGTGTTTATCATTCGTTCTAAAGTTTTACATACACAACTAGTCAGAGAGATAGGACGATAGTTGTTTGGGTCAGTAGCATCCTTTCCCGGTTTTGGGATAGGTATAATTGTGGAGTTCTTCCACGAATCGGGAATCTTTCCGGAAGCGTAAACTTGGTTGAATATGTAAAGAAGGCATGTTAGTGAAGAGTCCGGTAAGTGCTTTAGAAATTGATATGGAATATCATCAGGACCTGAAGCAGTGTCCTGTGATTTTCTAAGCGAATCAACAAGTTCTGGTAGGGTAAATTGTTCATTATAACTTTCTTTGTTTGATGATTTGAAATTGAGCCGTTTCTTTTCTCTCTTTTTTTTCAAAGACTGGAATTTTTGGGAGTGGTTTAGAGGGGATGAGTTTTTAGCTATGTTTTTTGCAAATGCATCAGCAATTTCAGTTATAGACGAGAAAATTTTGTTTTTATTAATGAGGTGGGAGGATGTTGCCTTTTTCTTTTTCCCACTTATTTTCCGAATCATATCCCATACTTTTTTTGAGGACGTGTTTGATGATATCTTGGATACATATTCTCTCCAGCTGTTTCTTTTGTCAATTTTAATTGATCGCCGAGCCTTTGCCCGCCAAATTTTAAATTCACTGTAGTTTGAAGCAGTTGGGCAATTGAAGTAGCGTCTTAGAGCAGCTGCCCGATTACTGCGTGTTTTAAAAGATTCTTCAGATAAAAGGAACTTCGTAGGTTTTGGAGCGGATTTTGGAATTGTCTTTTGGGCAATAGAAGTGAGTGTTTCAGTAAAAGTTTTGATAGGGTCGTCGAGGTTAGTAAAATTGTCTATGGTTAGTTTTTCAATGCACATGTGTTGGAATTGGGCCCAATCTGCTTTGTGCATATTCCATCGAGGTAGAGGATCATCAAGAGGAGTCCCAATATTCTGAAGAAAAATTGGGAAGTGGTCACTCCCACAAAGATCATCATTTACCCTCCAGTCATAGTCAAGTAAAATGGATGGATGGCATAATGATAGATCAATGTGGGTACGAGAGCCTGTAGCAGGGTGTAAATAAGTAGGGGTATTGTTGTTAAAAAGGCACAAGTTGTTTTTATCTATAAATTCCTCAATACGTCTTCCTCTCTCGTCTGTGTTGGGAGAGCCCCACAGGCTATTATGACCATTAAAATCACCGAGGATTATGAATGGTGTTGGGAGCTGGGAGACGAGATTATTGAGTTGCTCACAAGTGAAAACAATACTCGGAGGGAGATAAATTGAACAGACAGTTATTTGTCGGTGTAATGTTGCACAGACAGCAACAGCCTGTAAATTTGTGTTTAACTTGATCATTCTGTGAGGAATATTTTTATGGACAGCTACCGCTGCGCCACCTGCTGCTCTGCTAACTACAGTTGGAATATTAGTGTAGAGTGAGAAATTTCTAAGCGTGATTGGGTTTTTGAGCATGATTTCTTGAAGACAAAAAATGGCGGGTCTAAATTCTTTTGATAGATTCTGAAATTCTTCTATATTTGCCTTTAATCCGCGGATGTTCCATTGGATAATTGTGTTATTTATCTTTTGTTATTTTGGCTGGATTTCGATGGAGTTGAAGCACGAAGCGCGGAGGCATTCGTCTCCATCTCATCATCGAAATCTAGTAGGACATTGAACCGGTTTGTCGGGTCCTCTGATCCTTTGCCAAAGGTGACATTCAGATCCGGTCCTTCGGATTTGCCCCTCGCTATTTTAATTTTTTTCCTAGGTCTGTTGGTGGGTGATGTTGTCTCTGGTTTCAGTTGGGATCGAGGAACAGATGTGAGTGAGCGAGATCGCTGCGAACGCACATGTGCCCTAGATGTGCCAACCTTTGGAGGGTTTTCTCCTGAAGAGGAAGGTGTTTTTGATGGTGGTGCTGGTTTTGATTGTGGTGCTGGTTTTGATGAAGGTGCTGGTTTTGATGAAGATGCTGGTTTTGATGGTGATGCTGGTTTTGATTGTTTGCTGTTTTTGGTTGGTTTTCGAAAAGTCGTGAAACGGGATGGGTCCCCCGTGAGGATTTTCAAGTTCTGTTGACCAGCCATGTCTGGGACTTGTGAGCCCCAGGCAGGTATGTCTTCAGAAACTTGAACCGAAGCATCCTTGACCGTGACACTGTCAACCGGCGCCTTGCCTCGAGTCACTTGTGCGTAAGAGGGTGTAGCAATGTCTGCACTCCCGACTATCCTCCTGGCCTCGGGGAAAGAGACACCTCGGGTATATTTAACCCGTAATATCTCCCTCTCCTGGCTCCAGGTAGGGCAGTCGCGAGAAGAGGCAGCGTGCTTCCCCTCACAGTTGACACAGCGCAGGTTGGCGATGTCACAGTCATTTTGCTCGGTGTGACCCTCACGGCCACAATACTGGCAGATCGATTTTCGTCTACATCGCTTTTCGTGATGACCGTACTTCTGACAGTTTCGGCATCGCAATGGATTTGGGATGTAGACGGAAACGTTGTACCTCTGGTATCCGATTGTTAGTATTTGGGGTAGTGTTGGCGTTGAAAAAGTGATGATGAAGGTGTTTGTTTTGATTGTATCATTGTTTCTCCTGATCACCATCCGCCTCACCTCAGAGACCGGGACGCTCTCCTCCTGGAAATATGCCAGTATGTCTTCATCGGTGTCATTGCGCAAGGCTGGGCACCTGATTACCCCCTTGCTGCAATTAAGTGATGAGTGTGGTTTCACACTGACACCGATGCCGGCAAAACTGGTTGTTCCGAGTAGGTTCATCGCCTGTTGTTGGCGATAAACCTCTATAAGGAGATCGCCCGATCCCAATGGCTTAACGGATTTCACATCCCCTGCGATTCCCTGGATGCCCTTCCTCAACAGAAGTGGCGACAACGCGGCCGTTGTTTTACCACTCTGTGTGGAGGTCATCACAAGGAATTGCGGGAATTGGGTGTTCTGTGTTGCGTTTTGTGTTGTTTTTGAGCTAGGGTCATCGTTCCTGATTTTGGTATGTCCGTCGTTTTGGTGGTTTTTATCTTTACCCATGTGTATGTTTGTTTGTTTCACGATCTATGCCTCCACCCGCCACGGAGCCCAACAAGGGGACACTGGTGTGACGCGGATATCCAGCGCCAAGTGTCGGAGATACATAGAATAGTATACTCGTAAGAATATACATCCTCTTTGGCGGTGTGATGAAGTTGTAGCTGTCACAAAGGAATGCGTTTCTTGTATCCCGGCTTTTCTGGTGTTCATTACAGCTTAAAGAAAAACATGCCAAGTTATGCAAACTACAATGAAATACAAAACGTTTCAGATATGTCAGAATATCCCATTCATACCGTTACTTCGATCCGTTACCGACGGGTCAATATTGATGTCAGTAATATTTCACTTTTTATAAAGATGATCCGTTATAGCAATTTTTCTATAAGAATTAGTGAAAACTAAAGAAGTAATTGTTTGTGCTTACGTCCTATTAACAGCTAAGGTCATATATAAAGGTGCCATATTTTGGCGATTGAGGAAACCCGGAGTACCCCGAGAAATAACACCAACCTGCGGACAGTGCCTGCTGACTGCCCAACGTTGGCTATGAACCTACGACTCAGTGGTGGAGTACTAGAGATTGTAGAAAGTCAGACGCCTTAATCTCAATATAAGTGCTAATATAACAAAACTATGCTATACAAATTGTACATATGCGATATCGTATGTTCTTTTGATAGATGTTACGGAATGAGAGAGATACGGTAGGCTCAAGAGAAATATGGTACATTGTATACGTGTTTATTATCCGATCGGTATATTTTATCCTTAAGTAATATTTTCTACGCATGTTACACATTATTACAATAATGGGGTTGTACTGTCAGGTACTCTAATAGAACATAGTAGCGTAGTGAATTGAATGAAGTTGGTTGTCGAGTAGAGTTCATCGACGATTGACAGATATCAAAATACAACTTGACCCCACCTGTGTTAATTGTTTCTGTAACGTTTATGTGGACATTTTCCATCCTCACTGTTGACTAGTGATATAAAAGCGTGCCCGTTACCTAGTATTTAACAGGTAGCTGGTAACAGGTAAGGCACGTTTGTTTACATCTTAACTTCGTGTACAGTACGTACATGTGTAATAGAACGAGTCAGGCCTAGCGCACAATCCTAGCGTGAATCACACGCTCATGTGCCAAAGCCCCGCATCGCCTATAGGCTAACTGTCAACCCAGGTTCGATGGCTATACTTGTGTCGTTGGTTTGATATATTCACACGCCGACATCAATGGATAATTCTTGAAACAGTGATGATTTATTGTACAAATGATAGAACAAGGTTAAACAGACATAACAACTCTCACAGTCCCATTCTAACACCTACAATCCCTGACTACGCCTACTTCTAATTATCCTAATGTGGCATTCTAAAGAAACTAATCCGTCTGATTGCCCCATCCATCATAAAACTTTGTATTGCTTGAGCATTGTACCTACCTTTATCATTCTCTTCAAAGATCAGGTCTACATTTCCAGTTCCGTCCATCTGATCAACGAGCTTATATCTGCCCGAAAAGTCAGAGAGAGGTGTCAATTTCCACAAAATCTCATTTACTGACACCGTTATGTCCGTCTGAGTTTCCTTACTTGACATATTTGTCGAACATTTTGTTTGGTTTCTGAAATAGATAAAATGTGTTTTTGTAAATCTGCTGTAGACATTATCATCATACCCCTTTCGTTATATTATACAGACGCCAATCCTTTGTCAGAGACTATACAAAGCTTAAAAAGTACTCAACTCGTACGATGAATAATTGTTATCAATTGCACAAAGCAACACTGTATGAACCCGTACCTCTGTCTGTTCTGGCGTCGTTCTCTTGTCCTTAATCGCTCCTTTTCCCTAAATCCTTCTGGATCCAGTTCCTTCTGTTGCTGACGCCAGTTCATACTCCGCTGGCTGGAGGACAGCTTTACCTCATCAGATTTCCTTTTTTTTGTCTTTGGTACTGCCCTGTTAATGTAATTTGTGATGACAGTTATATAGTATAAAATATCACAGCGTTTTAAAGAGGACAAGTTCGCAGATAATATTATCCTACAAACAGGGTTGGAAATCGTCTAGCATAGAAAGAGATGCGTACGTTTTTCCCTATTAAAGTTGAGCCGGTTACTGGCGCTCTTAGGCACTGACATTTCATAGTTTGAAAAAGGCCATGTTGAATAGTAACTACAAAAGTAATATCACCTGACGTCACATAGTTTGTCTAATCATCTTTACTGATCATTTTGAGCAAAATTGCCGCAGATGTTTTCCCCTGTATGTTACAGACTTAGAACACATCGGACTTGTATATGACTTTGTACATCATCACATGGCTGTGAAGTTGACACCACGATTGTCGGTCATGATAATTAAATCAAAGGAATGACTTTCATGCTACCTCCCGTAAAGCGTATGTGACAAGTATTTTGCTATTCCATAATCTCATTCTGTTATTATATAGCAATCTAATGGACTAAGATAAAACGTTTTCAAATTTCAAATGCACATCCTGTTTGTGTCCAAATTCGATTTCGGTTAGTGTTCTTACCAAACTGAAGAATCTTATTCTGACTTTTTAAATTCAAATCCATTTCTAATTTCATATTACCACGTACCCGTTCATTCCCGATGAACTTGGCTCAGAATGATCCATTGAAATGAATTTCTGACTGCTGCCTTAATATGTATCCAACTGCATCGGCGATGTCAAATCTTCTCTGCAATAAAAGAAGTATTCTCCATTGAATGTAAACATTTGTCGACGTAGGTGCTTGCAATCCGGTTAGATTTCATCAGTTACTCTATGAAGACACGATAATTGACTTAAGCAAACTAGTTGGTTTTCTGCTCTAAAATGTATTAGAACTAAGCTAAGACTAAAGAGAGAGAGAGTGAAAATAAGTAAGCATTCTCCAATTCGGTAAAAGCAGATTAATACACACTGTAGCATATGTTTCATACTAATGTTTCTACGTTAATCAGAAAAGTATAGGCTAAATAAAATGGCGATGTCAAACATGTTTTTGTCTAGTTTGATTTGATGTTGAATATTTCGCTTATCGTCCATAAAATGTTAAAGAAACTGTAATATCACCTACCTGATTACTTATTTGTTTACAGAATATGCATAAGAACTGAACAGGTCCAGTACACTCTGCCGATTGAGCTATATAGCTGTAAAGACCTATAATAGCTCTATTGACCTATCTCAAATTTTCATGTGAAAACGAAACAAAGTTGCTTTTAAAAGAAGATTGTATTATTTGGGTTGATAACAAAAGACATTAAATATAAGTATTTTTTTTAGAAAATAATGATGTAAAACATTATTTTTTTACATTTATAAACAAGAGGCCCAGAGGGCCCGTATCGCTCATCTGAATATAATTTAAGTAATTGGTAGGAAGTAAAGATATAGCACTCCATGGTAGGTGCTGCAAGTACATATGAAATTTCAGAAAGATCCATCCAGTAGTTGAGATATAGAGAACAAACTTCAAACAGAGCCCCACCCCTTTGCCCCTACGGGGGTCATACCCACCAATTATACAAAATTGAGTCACCGTCACCCAAGGATGCTCCACACTAAATAAGGATAAAATCCCTTAATCCTGATGGTCGAAGAAGGATTTTAAAGGTTTTACCTCTATTTTTTCTATTGGGCCCAGCCCTTCTGCCCCCCTCGGAGACCACACCTACTGCTAATACAAAATTGAGTCCCCTTGGCCCAAGGATGCTCCAGACTAAATTAGGATTAAATCCCTTAATCCCTATGGTAGAAGAAGGATTTTAAAGGTTTTACCTCCATTTCCCCTATTAGGCCCCACCTCTCTGCCTACAGCGGGGTCAGACACACCGTTTATACAAAATTGGTTCCCCTTCACCCAAGAATGCTTCAGACCAAATATGGACAAAATCCATAGAAGAAGATGAAGAAGGATTTTAAAGATTTACGTCTATTTCCCCTATTGGGCCCCACCCCTCAGGTCCCAGGGGGGCCACACCCACCATTTATACAAAATTGGTTCCCCACTACCCAAGGATGCTCCACACCAAATATGGACCAAATCCTTTCATTCCTACAGAAGAAGGATTTTAAAGAATAATTGGGTATGTTTCCCCTATTGGGCCCAACGGCTCAGGCACCTGGGGGGCCAGATCCACGGTGCATACAAAATTGGATCCCCTTCACCCAAGAATGCTTCAGGCCAATATGGAACAAATCCTTTCATTCCTACAGAAGAAGAAGGATTTTAAAGAGTTTGCTATATTTCCCCTATTGGGCCCCGCCCCTAAGCCCCCAGGGGGGCCAGACCCACCATTTATACAAACTTTGTTCCCCTTCGCCCAAGGATGCTTCTGACCAAATATGGACCAAATCCTTTCATTCCTACAGAAGAGGAAGGATTTTAAAGAATAATTTGCTATGTTTCCCCTATTGGGTCCCGCACTTCAGGCCCCGGGTGAGCTAGACCCATGGTTTATAAAAAATTGGTTTTCGACTACCCAAGGATGCTTCTGACCAAATATGGACCGAATCCTTTTATTCCTACAGAAAAAGAAGGATTTTAAAGAATAATTTGCTATGTTTCCCTTTTTGGTCCCCGCCCCTCAGGCACCTGGGGGACCAGATCCACGGTTTATACAAAATTGGTTCCCTTTCACCCAAGGATGCTTCAGACCAAATATGGAACAAATCCTTCCATTCCTACAGAAGAAGAAGGATTTTAAAGAATTTGCTATATTTCCACTATTGGGCCCCGCCCCTCAGCCCCCAGGGGGGCCAGACCCACCATTTATACAAACTTTGTTTCCCTCCCCCCAAGGATGCTCCACGCCAAATATGGACCAAATCCTTTCATTCCTACAGAAGAAGAAGGATTTTAAAGAATAATTTGCTATATTTCCCCTATTGGGCCCCGCCCCCAAGCCCCCAGGGGGGGCCAGACCTTCCATTTATACAAACTTTGTTCCCCTTACCCCAAGGATGCTTCTGACCAAATATTGACCAAATTCTTTCATTCCTACAGAAGAAGAAGGATTTTAAAGAAATTGCTTTATTTCCCCTAATGATAAAATAAACATCTAATTGTATACTTTTTGTAGTCAACATTACCATAAACTTTATTGTTTTATGCGACTTTGCTTTATTTTAATGAAAATTGAAATCTGAGAAAATATAGCTCAATACAGCTATACTCTATAGGTGAATATAGCTAAATATATATTTATAGCTATATAGCCCAAACGGCAGAGTGTACTGGACTTGCTAAATAGGTTTACTGTTACGGTTGAATCAATACACAATATCCTGAAAGCATACAGGCCTGAATCACGTCTAAAAACAGTTTGTGGAAATTACTACGTTCCCACATATATTATTGAACTTGTGTTATCTAAGTTTATTTTCTTTTACATACACTGGTGTCAAATAACAGCGATCCTTTACTGCGACAAAAGAAAATGTGTTCGAACACCGGTACTAAAATAGAACAGCTGCAACATCTATAAATACATTTCACCTGGTTTTTCCAGATCCTTTGTTAGTTAGCTATTAAACGAGATCTTTTTATGTTAATACTTGGTAAGTGTGCGTACATTGAAAACACATTTGAGATGTTACTGTAAACGAAATTGCTACTGCTATATCATGTTTGAGATGCAGGCCAAACATTGAAAAATAACAATGTCCGAATGACTGGTTTTCATAATTAATATTTCACTGGAATATTTAATAAACTGTGTTGGGAGGAAGCAAGTATTTGATGTTAATATTTTCAGTTTTGTATTGGTTTCCATTTTTATACATTTGTTGTGTTGTAAATATGTGAAAATAGTATTAAAGTACCAGGTAATCGAAACGACTTGATTGTTGTTTAGAGTATCTGGGTCTGCACCTATGAACGCCGTCTCAAGCCCAATAGCAGATTTTGTGCCCAAGCCCTGTTTTGTCTACCGGGGAAATCATCAAAAGAATGTGACATTTTGTCTGATTTGGATGAATTTTGGAAACTTTCTGCTCTCAATATACCAAGTTACAGGAAAAATGTCTTGAGTAAAGGTTCCTTGCTTGAGCATGATAACAGTTTCATAAGCACATGCTCCGGCGTAAAATTATTACTCCTTTTAGCGTTCTTGAAAAACTTCACCGTAGTGAAATAGGTAGCCGGTTTCCTGAAGTACAGACAAATTGATACATGTGATTCATTGATTAAAAACCAGCTGAATTAATGCCTGGATTGCTTTGCAATACTATACTATTGAAAGAACACATTCCGAGTTTAAGTATATAAGTGTAAATACACTTTGTATGTTCAACATATATAATTATGAAATAAGGTATTCCGAGTTATATTAATCATTTTTATTTTGCCCAGGTGGGCGTTCGCAGAGGATCGTAACGAGGGACTATTTCATATCCGTCTTGGGGTGAAGACGAGTGACGTATCCCCAATATCACCTGGCTACCCCGAGGCCCAGAATATACACATCCCTGTCATATCTACGGTTCACATAAAACCTGCGATACCTTGTCAGACAATATACTAAGATATACATGTGTATGCCTCTGACATGAATTAGTTGTTAGCTATTCAAACATCACCTATTCTTATTTATTGAAGCGCGAAGGCAAGTCTGTATAAATAGCATGACACGAGGCATTTACAGTAGAACCCTTATAATGAAAGTAATATAACTCTTTTCGAAGTAGTTAATACCACTAAATTCTTAACCATCGGGAACATATTGGTCTGATAAACAAGATATATCTTATCATATTTATGTTCATTTTTCAAGCTGACGTTTGTCCTTCACTTTTTCGTTTGTTTGGTGTAATTTCTAAGGCACTTGTTTTGTGTTGTTGGGCCGTAGAGAAGTTAAACTATTAATACTAAGTAAGGTAAGCTGGCCCTGGTTGCTAAAAGGTTTATTAACTTTAACATGTGATTAGTGAAAATTCAAATTGTTTTCGATTAGAAACAATGCCTTTCGGAGAAAACCAGTTGTTCAAAACACGTCAATCTCATCTGCCTTTACGAATCTATCGATGTGAAATGATATTAGCTGTTCTTATTTTTGCATATTTTAGAATTTCCTTCACCACACTTGTCAACTCTTACCAACATTTGAGCAATCGTGGCCTGATTGCGAAATGATTAAATAAAACTTATCTTCCTAGAACTAAATAACATGAATGCATACAAACTCATCGCACGAACAACGATTGAACAATCTACATTTTTTTCTGATTGTAATAATCAAAAGGAACTGACTTTTTTTTACACAACAAAATATACCCCAAAGTACAATCAGCAACATTTTATATCCCTATATACAAACAAAAATCAAAATAAAGTTATATCCCTATTTTAAAAGCAGCAATGAGATAAATCCGTATGTACAACAAATGATTATTCTACCCTGCACAAACAAATATGAGTAATATCCCTCTATATAAACAACAAAGATTTATATCCCAATCTAGAAAAAAATGACAAAAATACAAACATTAACTACAAAGTCGTATACTATGTACAAACAACTAAGATACTTACACCTAGGTACACACAACTAAGAGACTTAACCCCTATGTACAAACAACTAAGAGACTTAACCCCTATGTAAAACAACTAAGAGACTTAACCCATGTGCACAAACAACTAAGACCCTTAACCCCTATGTACAAACAACTATGAGACTTAACCCCTATGTACAAACAACCAAGAGACGCCATATGCACAGACATGATACTTACCCCTTTGACTTAACAACTAAGAAACTAACCCCTATTGTACAAACAACTAAGATATTTACCCCTATGTACAAACAGTTGAGATGTTTACCCATATGTACAAACAAATTAGAGCCTGACCCCTTTGTACAGAAAACAAATATGTTATCCCTCTATACACAAACAATAAAAATGTAATCTCTATGTACAAACAACAAGTATGTATAAACAACAAAGGCTTACACCCACTAATTATACAAAATCAAAATTGAGTCCCCTTGACCCAAGGATGCTCCAGACTAAATAAGGATAAAATCCCTTAATCCTGATGGTCAAAGAAGGATTTTAAAGGTTTTACCTCTATTTCTCCTCTTGGGTCCCGCCCTTCTACCCCCTAGGAGACCTCACCTACTATTACTTATACACAATTGAGTCCCCTTGGCCCAAGGATGCTCAAGACTAAATTTTGATAAAATTCCTTAATCCCTATGGTAGAAGAAGGATTTTAAAGGTTTTACCTATATTTCCCCTATTGGGCCCCGCCTCTCTGCCTCCAGGGGAGTCAGACACAGCGTTTATGTAAAATTGCTTCCCCTTCCCCTTTAAACAAAATTGGTTCCCCTTTACCCAAGGATGCTTTTTGACCAAATGTGGAACAAATCCTTTCATTCTTACAGAAGAAGGATTTTAAAGAATTTGTTACATTTCCTCTATTGGGCCCTGCCCTAATCAGACCCACGGTTTAAACAAAATTGGTTTCCCTTCACCCAAGAATGCTTTAGACCAAATATGGACCAAATCCTTTAATTCCTACAGAATAACATGGATTTTAAAGAATTTGCTATATTTCCCCTATTGGCCAACGCCCCTCGGGCCCCGGGTGGGCCAGACCCACGGTTTATATAAAATTGGTTCCCCTTCACCCAATAATGCTTCAGACCAAATATGAACCAAATCCTTTCATTCCTACAGAAGAAGAAGGATTTTAAAGAATAAATTGCTGTTTCCCCTATTGGGCCCCATCCCTATGGCCCCTGGGGGGCAAGACCCACGATTTATACAAATTTGGTATCCCTCCACCTTAGGATGCTTAAGACCAAATATGGACCAAATCCTTTCATTCCTACAGGAGAAGAAGGATTATACAGAATTTGCTATATTTCCCCTAATGTGCCCCACCCCTCAAACCCTAGGGAGGCCAGACCCACCATTTATACAAAATTGGTTTCCCTTTACCCAAGGATGCCTCTGACCAAATTTGGTCAAAATCTGCTCAGTCGTTCATGACTAGTAGCGTTTTAAAGGAAAAGTTGACGGACGACGGACGAACGACGGACGCAGCGGTATGGCATAAGCTCACCATAGTCCTTCGGACCAGGTGAGCTAAAAACACAGAGATTTACCCCGTACCTATTTACAGGCAGCACGGAATGTTACCCTCGAGTAGGACACACAAATAGTGTTACCTCGTATAAAACATTAAGTCTGGTACATCTATGCATTATTCACAGAGAAAAGACACTTACGTATTAGAAAGAAAACATATGTCCAGAGTAAGAATCAAAATAACACTTATTGCTAACGAAATATTCCGATGCCCCATCTGCTGTTAAATTTCAACACTAAACAGGCGTATGTGTGTTTCTACTATATATAGAGTGTATTCGGACACAGTCTTCGTTGATTGGACGAAAAAAGACCTATAGCGTACCTCTGGCTGTGTATATGCTTTCCGAAAATCATTGCTAAAAATAATACTGCGGTAATAGCCGATGTAAAATTACAACCATTTTGTATGAGAAATATGTCCGAACACAGGTGTTAATTAACATCCGTTTTTGTTTTCAGGTTATGCTCCCATTGGTCTATAAATTGGCTTGAGAACATTTAAAATATATTACAAGAAACTGACATTTTAACCTATGGACAAATAATTTCAGCCTACTTTTTCTACAGGTAAAATAAAACCTGTCAACAACAAGCATCATTTTTTTCGATTTGATATGTCAAACAAATTAAATAACACTTGTCAACAGCGAACATATCTCTATCTATTGGCTGTACAGAATTACAGAAACCTGTCAACAGCGAACATATCTCTATCTATTTGTTGTACAGATTAACAGAAACCTGTCAACATCGAACAAATCAAATATCTATCTCTTTGTTGTACAGATTAACAGAAACCTGTTATAACGAACATATCTCTATCTATTTGTAGTACAGAATAACAGAAACCTGTCAACAGCGAACATATCTCTATTTTTTTCTACAGGTAAAATGAAACATGGCTATTTAATAAATGGTTTTGAGACCTGTCACAAATTCAGTTAAAACACAGATTCATGCATGTTCCATGCGGTTAAGTTGGCCGTTTGACTTATTTTCATCGGCAATATAACATGTTGTCGATATTATTATTATTGCATAAACAATTATGCATACCATGCGGGTTTAAACGACTACCTCCTCATAATATACAGAGAAAACCAGTATCTATTCAATTATTTAAATATACTTACTGGAATTCCTGCATGACCGCTAACATAGCTTCATATCACCGTTGGTATGTCTACAGTTCCCATTAGATCACTGTTACACGACACACAAGTGTGTACTCCAATGTGTATGTGTTCTACTACTATATGAAGTGTACGGTTACCCGACTATTAAATGATTAAATGATCACCAAATGTAAACACTTACACTGTTTTAACTTCACTGTAAACCCCTGACGGCTTATACACAGGTATACACACACATTTCACAGCTCACTGAAGCACATTAGGAACACTTCCTTGTTCGTATTAAAAGGGAAGTTGGAAGATAAGGCCATTCAGTTAGATACATATGTACAACCAACATAATGGAATGCTTCGCTATGTACGAACAGAACCATTATAAGCTCTATTGCTATCTACAAACTTAAATAACTAGTCAGAGCAACTATGAATTACATAGATTGGCACACACAACATAAAGTTATACCTTAATGTACAAATCATAATGAATTACATTCCTATAACCATACAACAGAAAGGTATGCTGCTAGTGTTCACAGATAGAGTTGTACAGCTGTCTTCTAAACAGAAATTTATATCTACGAATTAATATCAAAATATTACGTTTCCATGAGAATTGGTACTCAGAATAAAATGTTTGTCCCTTGATCATTATATTAATATACAAATAAGTTTCACTTACCGTGAGAGAGCTTGCAGACCTTCAGGTTTCCATGTCGTATGATTTTTCTGAATAAGTTTTCCTATATATAGGTTATGTTCGGTCACGTTCGGTCCCATTCGAATAGAGACTCGGTTAGTAGTCGGGTGAGTGTTCGAACAAGTCCGAATAAAGTACGAACATAATACTGTGTTAGGTTGTTCGGGCGTGACTGTTAAAAGACCTCTGAAACGACTATCTGCAATTATGACTAGACTGTGTGTAAAGTGATCTGCCATGAAAATGTTATCCTGTATAGATGCCCCATACACTTAAACACAACCACGCACAACTGTAATAATCTTGTAAAAGTGTAAAGTTATATAAACACGTATCTTTGTTTCTCCGTGATTTATTCTTTGTCTCTCTCTGTGTTTGTCTTTGACTGTTTTTCTGTGTTAGTGTTATTCTCTCGGTCTCTGACTGATTATCTGTGTTTCTTTCTTGGTTTCTCTCCCTGTCTGTCTTTTATTGTTTCTCTGTCTTTCTTTCCTTATTTCTATCTCTCTTTCTCTCTCTCTCTCTGGCTGTTTATCTGTGTTTGTTTCTTGGTGTCTTTCTCTGTCTGTCACTGTCTCTGACTGTTTCTCTGTGTTTGTTTCTCGGTTTTTCTCTCTGTCGTTGTTTCCTTATTTCTCTCCCTGTCTGTTTCTGACGGTTTTTCTGTCTTTGTTCTCTCTCTCTCTCTCTCTCTCTCTCTCTCTCTCTCTCTCTCTCTCTCTCTCACTGTTTCTCTGTGTTTAATTCCTTATTACTCTCTCTGTCCGTCTCTGGCTATTTCTCTGTGTTTGTTTCTTGGTGTCTCTTTCTATCTGTCTCGGTCTCTGACTGTTTCTCTGTCGTTGTTTCCTTATTGCTCTCCCTGTCTGTCTCTGACCGTTTTACTGTCGTTGTTTTTTGGTTTCTCTGTCTGTCTCTGACTGTTTCTCTGTCTTTGTTTCCTTATTTCGCACTCTGTCTGGCTCTGGCTGTATCTCTGTGTTGTCTCTTGGTGTCTCTCTATCTGTCTCTGTTTTACTATCTTTCTGTGTTTTGGTGTCTCGATGGTGTCTCCCTCTGTCTGTCTCTGGCTGTATCTGTGTTGTCTCTAGGTGTCCCTCTCTATCTGTCTCTGTTTTACTATTTTTCTGTGTTTTGGTGTCTCGGTGGCGTCTTTCTCTGTCGATGGCTGTTTCTTTCTCTGTTCATGCGTGACTATCTCGATGTCAGTGTCTGACTGTTTTTGTCTTTGTTTCTGGGTTTCTCTGTCTATCTTTGTTTTGTTTTTTGTTTCTTGGTTTCTTTCTTTGTCTGTGTTTGTTTTTCAAAATCTTTCTATCACTGTCTCTGACTGTTTCTCTGTGTTTATTCTTAGTTTCTCAACCTGTCTATCACTGTTTGTTTTTCTGTCTTTATTTCTGGGTTTCTCTATCTATTCTCTGTTCATCTGTCACCGACTATTTTTTTCCTGTTTTTGTATCTTTGTTTCTTTTTCTGTTCATGCTTAACTATATTTCTGTTTTTTTCTAAGTTTCTCTCTGTGTTTGTCTCTGACCTTTTCTCTTTCTTTCTTTCTCACTGTTTGCCTCTGACTGTCTGTTTTTGTTTCTGGTATTCTCTCTGTCTCTTACTGTGTTTCTGTGTTTGTTTATTTGTTTCTCTCTATGTCTTTTGTCCCTGCCTGTGTTTTTGTGTTTGTTTCTGGGCCCATGTCTCTGTTTATGTCTGACTTTTTCCTGTTGTTGTTTCTTTGTTTTTCTCTCTGTCTATCCCTGACAAAAACATATCCTGTGTGTACCTCTGTATTAGAGAACTCATTATTTGCTATGATGCTAATAGGGATTGTTTTACTTAATATGTTCGTTCATGTTCGGACGGAAGCCTCGACGATTTGATAAACATGTATATCTACCGCATAACCGGCTGTGACTGATATGCTGACCGAACAATGTTGCTAAAACTAAAACCGCGGCAATAGTCTCTGTGAACGACAGGCGTGTGTAATCTCTCTCTCTGTATTAAGTATTTCGAAGGAAATATGAAACTAGGCCGTCACGCACTTTGTGTTGTGCTTGTAAATAAACACATACCATTAAATTAAAATTTTCAACAAATGCCCCATTTTTCTCAAATATAACCTTTGCTCTCTGAATTACTACCTATAAGGTCCCAAATACAATTTTAACGGAAATATATGACATGATATTTATCCGAAATATTTCCCGGTACTCCAAATACATATCAACATTCCAGTGGGACCATCATCATTTAGCGTGTTGTGTGCTAGTTGGCGTAGTAATTTGTTGGGTTTCTGGTGTTACATTGTAATACAATACTGAGCAACAAAACGTTCTCTGAACGATATCCTTCATACTACTGCGTAGGAGTACCCGGTTTTCCCTATCACGCTACCTAGTCATATTTATTATTAGACTGTTCGGTCATTTTCGGATAGAAGCCTCGTTGTGTGTGCACTGTTGTCCGAAAACTGTTGCTATAATTATACTGCGGTAATAGTCTTTGTTAATAACAGGGTAGTGTACTACTCCACTTTGACGACTTGTCTATGCATATATTTGCGAATATGCATGTGAAACATCGAGGAAATAGCAGTAGTCTGATATCTTTCTACTGTTTAATTTTTACAAACGAAAATAAGATAAACGTACTTTATTACCTTGACATCTCAGAATATTTTAGGTAGGCTTCAATACTAATGCGTAAACGACAACATTACTTTGTATCGTGCTCGAAAGTGACCAATGACATCACATGGCATTAGAGTTAAGAGGAAGTTAAAAATGCTAACATGGTTCATCTTGATTAATATACAGAAAAAAATGTTTCATACTGCCTGTTTCGGTCTTTATCTCTCATGTTTGTCTCTGTCTTATCTCATGTGTCTCTCATCGCCGTCTTGATGTCTAAACAAAGTCATTGCATAATGATGGATAGTAATACAATTGATACATTACAATTCATAATACAATTTGTATTGTTTTAGCCTTTCTTATAATCTTTTAAACCTTTCTGATAATTCATTGTTAAAATAACGACTCGCTACAGTATTAATGGCGGTTTCCACGTGTGCACCGGCATTGATGAAGCGATCAATATAGTGACATTGCATAAAGTTGTGTGTATGTTGTCATTAATGTTTGTTCGTGTCTTATCTCCTTTTCTTTTTCTGTCTCTCTGCTTTTGTAGATCTAAGTTTCTCATTTTGTTTGTGTACAGCGGCTGTCTTTCTGAATTTGTCCGTCTTTCTGTCTATCTATGTCACTGACTCTCTCTGTTTTACTGTTTTCTGTGTTTGCTTCCTTGTTTCTGTCAGTCACTCTCTATTCTATCACTGTTTCTCCGTCTTTTTTTTTCTTGTTTCTTTTGGCCGGGTCTGACGTCATTTTTGTCTTTGTTTTCCGGTTTCCCTCTCTATATGTCTTTCACTGTTTATCTGGGTTTTTTTTTGGTGTCTGCCTGTTTGTTTGTGTCTGTCTGTCCGTATTTGTGTGTCTGTCTGTCCGTCTGCCTGTGTGTCTGTCTGTGTCTCTCTGTGTTTGTGTCTGTGTGTCTGTCTAAAAAGGTATTTTGAAGGAAAATGTGGTAAGGACGTCAAGCGCCTTCTTTTTCTTGTAAATAATCACATGTCACTGTGTACCCTTAGTGTTCCGTTTGCGTCGTAAATGTCCTTTAACCTATGAACTACATCATATGATTTACAAAACCTTATATTTGGAATAGTTCGCGTTAATCAAAAGCCATTTCAAACTCCGAAAAACTCATTTTATAAGGACTGTGCAACTGCTTTGTACATGAATATGATGCATACGCGGATTCATTTTATAATTTTATAAGTGAATACAACTTTTACAGTATAATATCAATTTTAACAGTATCTGGTGCTGGGACCGCCATTTAGCGTGTTGTATGTTTTTTTGGTGTTCATATATTACTTTGTGACACATCTGAAAATTTTCTGAATGACTGTATCAGTGTAAATGATTACAAAAGTGCTTATATTTTGACAAAATTGGCGTCGAAATGATTATTGGGTTTTTGTATGTCATTTAATAGTAAACAAAGCAAGTAACAACTTTTTGAACAAATATTTTTCTATCTCGAGTTGAAAAAGTTTATGTTACTTGATTAAGTGATTCTTCAGTACATTCTGTTATAGTTAGAACAAACAAAATCCAGCAAAGGATATTACATGCCGCTTGCTAATTCTGAATTTGAAAGCATATATAAGATAGTAAATTTTATGTATTTTACTTGGCCCCAATATATACCCCCCTGGAGAACGTATATCTAGTTTTTTTCATAACAAATCAACTCCATTTATCTCCAATTGCTTTAAAATACTGTTCTTAAATTAACAATAACAGTCCTGCAAAACATGCAAAACACAGTGTGTTAGCTACTGCTATTTCGCTAGTTAAGTGTTTATCCAAGTATGAACTAGTTCAAGTACTTATTTCAATTGTTTAATGATGCACCAGGCTAATGTAATCAAGATTGTGGTTGAATAATCATCTCACAGTCCTTATGGTACGGAATGAGCGTTTTTGTAACCAAGGAATTTATGTCAATTAATAGAATATCTGATTTTGCCAATGTCATGTTTTGGTAAACATGCCATTCAAGATGGCTGCAATAATTATGTACCTGATTCTAGTACCCTGTACCCCGTACCCTATAACCCCTATCCCGTTCACTGTTCTTTCATAGCACGATACATTCGATACTATATGTATCTTGATACACATATCTGATTTAAAAGTTAGTTTCACAATACATGTAGCTTTACAATATAAATAGTTAATACAGTTTAAATATATCTTTTTCGAGCTGTTGTACGTTTTTGTATCACTTCAAAGTGGATAACATCGATTCTGGTGTTTAAAAAGAGAATAAGAACTCACAAATCGAATTATTTAAACTTTGATTGATAATACCCGAATTGAAAGTGTATTTCCTTATGCAGGCAAACAAATTGTTGTGCTACAATACACAACAAAGTCTTGCGAAGCTGAACCTCCAGAAGATTACAGATTCAATTTTTAGTGAATTAAATTTGATATCCCATTTTTTGGCCCATGCATT